CCGAGTCGTCAATTACTCGGAATCCTGGTCTAGGGACGGACGCTCTTTCAAAATGAGCTACCCATGTCTGGTATGGGGCTCCAATTCTCCCATTTCCATGAAGGCAGACCCTTACCGGAACCTTTGAAGTGACTCTGGCGATTTCTTCGGCCACCATCTCGTTCGTGACAACTGCTTTACCTAGGAGTGTGTGAATTGCGACGGGAATTGTCGCAATACGAAGGGCCACTAAATCTGAGGCCTTCTCCAAGATTGCGTCTACCTAGACGAAAGTCTCAGCAGAGTCCAGAAGGAGATGTCGTACCTCCATGTTTTTGGCTCGGGGTGCAAAGCCAGTCGGAACACAGTATACATGTTCAATAAACTGCGGGGGTAGCTCGAGCAATTTTGCTGTCGCATCTCGGACACCGGCCGGCGAGAGTGCGCGCCAAGCATGTTCTTTTCCGAGTCGAAGAAACAAACGATCATCTTTGGGGCCAGTTTTCTTAGCTTTTGCCGGAGGTCTCGTTGGTGTTGGGGGCTTCTTATGGACCCGCATATCTTTCACAGGTGCTGCTGGCGTGTGGAGGCCAGTTCGGGTAACTGTTGCCCAGGTAGGTTTGACCTGGGTCGCTTTTTGTAGCAGCTCTGGCTGCTTTTCAATCGTTTGTTCCACGATCTTTCCGCCATGATTCTGGGAGTTTGGTCGTGGGGGAAGGTTGGGAAGGACTGTTCCTGGTCCCGACATCATGAATTGAGCTATTGCAGCTCGGAGGTAGACTTTCATGGAGTCTATAAATTGAACGCTTGACCGTTTAGATAGAAGTGACAGCGCATTCTCCACACCATTGATAGCAGCGGTGCATATTGTGAGATTAGTTGCGGTCTGGGCCGCTCGCTGTTTTTCGGCTTCAAGTATGGCTCGAAGCTTGGGAGGACAAGTCGCAGTGTTCTTGGAGTTGCCATCGCTGCAAGAAGTTTGATTGCTTCCACTTGTCCTCGAAATGGGGTTCTGAGGGGCTGTGGTTGACGTGGCTTCGTCGGCATTTATTAAGTTAAAATTAGCTGTCCGCTTCATGGCCGGCACAGCAATCTTCCTCGTGTCTGTAATAACAGGGGCCTCTGAGACCTGACCGTCTTCGGGTTCACTGACATTCCATCGTGAGCTCTCAAGCCCCTCCATGATATATCGGTCGATAACCGCATCACCCATTTCAACATCTGGGTTTGTGGAGTTAGAATCTTCTTCAAAGGCTCTTATCCTTTCGGTCATTTCCGACTCCATTTTTCGCTCGTCTATCCAGCTCAATGGTATGTTCTTTTTTGCCAAGCGCTTTTTCAGCCTGGTATTCGCTCTACCAATTGTTCTTTGATGGCGAATAGGTCGCGATGGTTTGACAGGCCCCGGAGACATATTGGAGATCGGGAGTCTTGCTACTGTGAGAATTCGAATTAGTGTAATTGTATGCGAGTCGGAGGGGGACGGTAATGGTAATGGGGTATCTCATTGATTCTCTCACGAATATCCAGAAATTCTAACTTTGATATTGTTTTGTTTTTTGTTTTGTTTATTTTGTCCTAAGCTAAAGCTGTGTTTTCCACATTGGGTCAAGGACAGGCGGAGCCGGTCTGGTTCCCTGTAATCTTTCCTACAGCCTAACTCGTTCCAACCTCGTGAATCGCTACCAAAAGTGCAGCTGATTAAACAGAAACGAAAAATCAAGAAAATCAAAACAACTCCGAAAAAACCAGAAGATTCCTCCATGTTGGACCCAGTCAATGTGCTCCTCACACATTCTCTCGTCTGTCACACCTTCCAAATGACAAATTTACTCCTTCTATGCTGAGAGCGAAAGATGAGTTAGCAGGCACCTTTGATCCAGCCGGTATCCTGCTAATTGTTAGTGGATGCCCCAGAAGGGGACATCGTCGAGGTTGCTGTGTCCTCAAACTTCTTCTTCAGATCCCAGCACTCCGAAACCTGTTGCCTCGGCCATTGCGACATCCTTCGCCGCGGCGACGATCGCCTCTTCGGCCTTTTTGGCTGCAGCCCTAGCTCGAGCCGCCTCCGCGAACTTCCCTTGCTCGAGGTGGCGTATCCATGCGAGCTGCTCTTTTGTCACCGGCCCAGACTTTCTGGGTCTGACTTTGCAGTCCCGAGGATCCGATCGATGAGGTCCCCCACAGTTCCAGCAGGCAGGAGCGCGGGAGCAGCCACGAGTGGCGTGGAAGCCCAAACAGCGTTTACACTGTTCAATTTGTCGACGAGGCTTGTGTATGATAGCCCTAACAGACTCGTCGAAGAGGCGGAAGCCCGCACGAGGGGCGACTTCCCGGTCGAAAAGGGCATGCCAGTTTCGGTGCGGTGCCCCAGGTCGACATGTCCCATGAGGTCGGACGTGTGTTGGTCTCGCGCCGGTCATAACGGCGATCTTGTCGAAGACCCACTCAGAATCGACCGCCATGGGGCCTCGCTCTGTGATTATACTTACAGGTACGTTTGGTATCTGTAAGGCTACAAGATCCGAAGATGCCTCGAGTTTGGCATTTTCACTCGCCAGCTTCGAAGAGCCATCTAGCATCTCTTGTCGTGTTTTTTCGTCCTTTGCTAGCATAGCAAAGCCAGTCCTCACTCGATGAAGCGAGGTTATTTTATCGTGAAAGAAAAGGAATCTCATCTCCAATTTACTTCTTACGCAACTTGTGGACAGTTTTCGCCACGGGTGGTCCTTTTCAAGGCGAAGGAACAGTCGCTTGTCGACTTTCGCCTTGGAGGTTTCTTTTTGTTGGGCTTTTGCCGCAGGTTGCGGTACAGCCTTTGCAGTTGAGACTACTTTCTGTCGTAGTCCGTTTCTAGCCACCGTGGCCCAGGTGCTTTTGACAGGCAGAGCTAGGACGGCGGGAATTGGCATGCTCCTGGCGTCGGGAGCCCTTGGGAGAGGGTTCGTCGGGTGAGGAGGGAGAACGGGTGGCGTGATGGCCGGGCCCGTGGCCATGTATTGCGCAATGGCGGCGCGTAGGTAGACTCTCATCGAGTCTACGAATTGTCTATTTGACCCGTTGGTCAAAGGGAGGAGGGTGGCTTCGACGCCAGAGATGGCGGCGGAGCAGAGGGCCAGATTTGCCGCTATTTCGGCGGCGCGTCGTTGTTCAGCTTCGACAATTGGTCGGAGCTCGAGGGAACACTCTGCTTTCGTGGCAGCTTTGGGCTGCGACGTTGATGTTGACGCTGCTATGGGTGCAGCATTTTCCGACGGTTTTGACACGGTCGGAGGTGGTTTGGATGATTCTCCAATCCCGTGGGGGACGGAGGGTGGTTGAGGAATTTCCCCAACAATTTCGACTGACCCGATCATGTCAGTATCGGGCTCAGTGATGGCGGGGAGGGCTTTTTCCTTCCCTTTGATTGAGACCTTGCTCATCTCCGCGCATTTCGGAGACTGGGCAAGGCCAGATACTTGTTCGAGAGCCCTCGGGTGAACTCTCGTGTTGTCCAACTTGGCGTTGGGACGCTTTTTTCGAACAGGTGGCATGACGAAAATGCCAGTGACTCGATCACAATTTTTTGATAGAATGCGACGAGCGCGTGAGGGAGGGAGACGGGAAAAAGGTGAAGATTCGAAAATTCGAATTTCAAAAAATTGTGTGTGCTTTGATATTATATCATAGCTAGACAGCTGCATACGCAAAAGTAATCTGATGAAAAAAAATACGGAAGAAACTAATCATTCCTTCTTGTATTCGCTTTACATTTTGAAGATTCAAACGAAACTCTCTTTAAGTTTTACAGGTAGCAATGAAATTTGCGTGCGCGAGAAAATGTCTCAAAAAACTGCACCCCCAGCCAGGCAAGGCCTAGACACCAGAGCCACATGAGGTGTGCATGTCCATCTATATCTTTCTAATTGTAACGTTAGAGATCAGCTTGATCCAATCCACCATCGCCGTATCGGGTGCCAAGTACGCTTCGGAAGATCATCGGATGGTTTTTTCTCCAAAAGAACGAAAGGAAATGTCAGTAGTTTTTGAGCTGGGTTTTGATCCTACCACTACGAGTCTAGTTGAGGATGGCCTTGTGCTCTTAGTTAAGGCATATTTGCAGAGTTTACTGAAAAGTTACACCAGCACCGTTGGACGTGAACAGAATCCTCTTTGCTGGCTTTAAACCCTTCAAAGTGGGGGCCTCCCATGAAAATCGCAAAGATTAGTCCGAAAGATAATTCCTATTTTCAAAAAGTTCTCGAGAGAGACCAGATTCCGTTTTTTGTTATGAATGCAGCCTTGGTTTTCCTAGTTGATGGTTGACCTGAGATTGAGGCCTACAACTGAATTGACTGGCTCTCAGCCGGTAAATCAATATGATCATGTTCTTAATATATGCTGAAATTCTACTCCGGGAAATTTTTAATTCCATGTCTATAGATGGCTCCACAGACGGGGTCTCACAATTTGTGCTTTGTCGGACCTATGGATTATATAGCCCATCAGTATTTGTTAGATATCAACTTAGTAGGTTATTGAGAAACTTTACCAAATGAATGACCTAAATTAACGAACAAACTGTGCATATTGGTGTATAACAATAAAGAACTTTGCCACCTTATATGGCAAATATATCGTGCGTTAACGATGGCATCTTCAAATTTCGAAGGGTCAGGAATATTTTAGTAATAAATAGTAACGGCTCGAGAGGGAAAAGAATAGAGTGAAACCTGAGTGACAACCATGAAATTTGGTAAATTTTACATAATTCACAATACAACTATGGCCTCTGAGCAACAGGACAGACAAAGATATAAATCCCGATAATGATAAATGTTAGTAGAGTTATAATTCAATATAGTTCTACAAGTTGGAAAATGAAACATATATTTGCTGATAGTCTTCTGAATGGTTGTGGAATGTAGTTGGATAATTTTTTTACAGTGTGTAGTAAAGATGGTTTCGTACAATTTAATTATGACCAACGACCACGTTCTAACCTTCCCGGGTTTCATGAAATAAAGTAGCCATTATTCATTCTATTTGAGGGTCGACCAGAGCTTAGGGGCTGCACATGAAGATGCACAATGTATAAGATGAAAGACTATATTCATGTGAGTCTTGGGTTCACCAATGAGATTTAAGTATACTTACATTCCTCAACGCAATCCTCATCTGCAGTTCCTTCCTGAGCGCCAGTAACACGCTCTACACAGTCTTCAAAATGATGTTTCGCTGGAGAGCAAGAAGCAGAATTCTTGCATTCTATTCAATTGTTAGTAGGTGTGATATGATCGAATCACAACGCTTCAAGATTGACTTCGTGAGAATTTTATTTTTGACGCCTTTTGCAATTAGAGGAAATATTTCTCACCCTCTTCTAGTACTTCTTTGGGATCAACAGTCTCTTCCTCTTCCTCTTCTACCTCTTCCGCATCTTCAGCTTGCTCTGTTGGCTGTTCTTGCTCTTCGGATGTTTCCTGCGGCTCAGCCGCTTTGGTTTCAGTTTGATTGACTTCCTGCTTTTGTAAGTTAATTAGCAAAGCTTCACTCACAACGGGTCCGATATGACATGGCAATTGGAAAAGTACAATACATGTACACTTCTGACTATATATGGCAAATAAACGGACTTTACTGGAGTCCATTTTCCATTAAAAATGGCGCAAGGATCTGAATTATTATTGATGACTTACCTCTTCTGCCTCTACAGGTGGCGCCTCGGCGTGAGCCTCAGTCCATGGTATAGCTGCTTCTAACAGATCGCTCAAACTTTCAAAGATACCCATCTCTATAAAATATCTTGACTCGATGGACGTCTCAGGATCTCTTACGGTGTAGGTTAGTTAGTACTAGCCGATGGATTCCAGAGTCAAGTTGTGTTATCCACACGTGACAAAAGTACGAAATGAGATTAGACAACTTTACATGTTAGTTTCCCCCCTGTAAATTCGAACCCCACAAGCTTTACAATAAATCTCATATTCTGATTTATATCGGAGTAGCAGTGCTGTCAGAATATTCATCTTAGAAATTTTCTCATCCGGAAACATTGGCTACGTATGCAGCCTAATGAAGTCAAATTTGACAATAACAGGAATATTTTAACAGCTTACTCAGCTGATAATTGATGAAAGACTGATGCGCTATGGTACAACTAGTAATATTTTACGAGATGCACAGGGAAGAAGCCATCAAGATTTATCAGAATTCTTATTATTTACCACCTGTCAATTCAATGTTCAATTCATGATCGGTCCATCCTGAATATTCAATTCTGTTAAGACCTAAAACCTCCGCATCCATCCAATAGAAGGTCGATATATTGTTGCCACTTAAAGAAGACCAAGATAGAAAATCTTTATCAATGTTTATAATTTTAAGGAAGTCGAGTCTTTTAATGTTATTTGTTAAACCATGCAAAAGCTTCAAAAGAGAGCAAACTACCATGGAAGGAAGAGTTTCAGTTCATCACACTAGCTAGATTTAACTTTCACATTTTGATTAACTCTTAGCTTGACTCTTTATCTCTTTATCAATTTCAATTAAGCACCATTTCGGTAGGACCCTATCTCTAATTAAATCAATCTTAATAAAAAGTTAATATGTGCTCCAATAATTACGGCTTCGACCCTATATGAAAGTACTATGTATCTCCTCTAATGTTAGGCTTGCGTAACTAAAGTAGATCATATGCTTTACTTTTAGTGCTCCGCATAATACAGAATACAAAAAATTTCCAATTAAAATATGTTATACTGCTGTACGTAAACTTATAGAAGTTTATGCAACAGTAGGTGTGACTGGCTAGGAGGAGGACAAGACTGAGCACCTGTACGCGGTGTCCTCTACGAACCTGGGTGTGAAATATTATCCCAGAGCCAAGTTCAGTCAAACTTCGCAATACCGAACAGGTTGGCCCACAAGGCAACGATTCAAAATACTCCACCACATCAATCTTTTACTCCCAACGAGTTCGAATCCTTCTTTAGCCTCATCAAGCCTACAAGTACGACCTAATACATTCTCATTCCAATGACCACATCTCTTGTCGACTTTCTCTGGCCTCAGCTGGTCACCAAATACACGCCCACGCCGATATTTACACCTGACAGGGAAAGCAAAGCGAAGCGTGGTGCACAAATCTGGGGGACAGTTCTTTGGAATGGGCGTGAGAGGATCCAGGACAAGTTCAAAAGATGATGCAGAGGATGGATACAATCTCGACGTTTGTGAGATTTGGAACTTTGGCAAGGAGCCTTTACAATTTGAGCTTTGTGCATGCCAAGACTTCGGTTGCGAAAGTGCAGGCGACACTATAAACATCGCCATGGTTGGATGGTGCGGTGGTACATCGTCTTGGCCGGTCTGCCAAGTAGAGTCTGGATATCTCGGACAAATATCCCACTCGAGTCAGTAGATCGCTGGTTCAAATCCGGCAAAACACAACCACATTTCTCGCGGTGCAGGTATGCATGGATGAAAAAGGCATGCTTGGATAATCAAAGGTTTTAAATTTCCCTTTGGTTGGTACTTACGGAGGAGGGTCGACTGTTAGTGTAAGCAAGCATACCTCATAGCGGAACTTGCGAATGAAATTCAGAATACGAGTGTCTCTAATGTCAAAAGGGTCATCCTACATATATAGATAGCACCGATCATATTTCATAGCTAGGTAGCAGCATACACATTAAATGAGTTTAAAAAAAACCTCCACACAATTGAGACCCATAGAAGTGCCAAACTTTTATACAACCCTCAGTTGTATTATCGCAATCGCATCTGTAACGAGCCACCACTGCATTCTAGAATACACTTTCTAACTGTGATAAGCTACACCGCCAGGTCTAGCAAAAAAATTATAATAGTACTGCCTGTGAACACCGATCCTGTGTGTGTGTGTTTTATTGTACTACTTGAATCTATGACTATCTAGCACATTGGGCTCCTCTCTGACCCAGGCTACACCTTGTACAGTGCTCCTTGCCTCTCATGTTGCTTGAAAGATCATTGATGTATTGGCAGTGATGATTAGCCATTCCAATCAGTGTTTGCCCGTGGAATTCAGCCATCTTTTCCGCGGAACCTCCCACCCAAAATAAAAGGGTAGCAATGGAAACTGCGTGCGCGAGAAAAAGCCCCAAAAAACCTGCAACCCCAGCCGGGCGAGACCTAGACACCGAGACTATATGATGTGCGCATATTCATCTATATCTCTCTTCCTTGTAACATTCGAGGCCGATTTGATCCAATCCGCCATCTCCGTACAGGGTGCTGGGTACGCTCCGGAAACCCATCTGATTGGCTTTTCCTCCATGATCAAGTGTTGGTGATGAGTAGGGCTCCGACCCTACCATCTGATCTGATCGTAGTTAGCTTCATGATAATGGTGATAGGGGAATGTGTTGAGAGATGAAGACAAGACAGACCGCGGATGCGATTGGGAATCCTCGTCGAAGTGAGGACTTTGTTACTCAATCTCGGCTCTGCAGACTCTACAGTAAGAGCTGGAGGTTCGTAGGGGACACCACTGACAGGTGTTGAGAATAGTCCCCCTTTTTTATTTATGTATATAAAATGAGGCACAGCCTAGTGATAGTAGGAACTACGCTAACTATGACACCAATGGTGTGTAGTTGTTTTATTAAGGTCCTAAGCTAAAGCTCCAAGTCCACTATGAGTACAGGATCGGTGTGGGGGACTATTCTCAACACCTGTCAGTGGTGTCCCCTACTAACCTCCAGCTCTTACTGTAGAGTCTGCAGAGCCGAGATTGAGTAACAAAGTCCTCACTTCGACGAGGATTCCCAATCGCATCCGCGGTCTGTCTTGTCTTCATCTCTCAACACATTCCCCTATCACCATTATCATGAAGCTAACTACGATCAGATCAGATGGTAGGGTCGGAGCCCTACTCATCACCAACACTTGATCATGGAGGAAAAGCCAATCAGATGGGTTTCCGGAGCGTACCCAGCACCCTGTACGGAGATGGCGGATTGGATCAAATCGGCCTCGAATGTTACAAGGAAGAGAGATATAGATGAATATGCGCACATCATATAGTCTCGGTGTCTAGGTCTCGCCCGGCTGGGGTTGCAGGTTTTTTGGGGCTTTTTCTCGCGCACGCAGTTTCCATTGCTACCCTTTTATTTTGGGTGGGAGGTTCCGCGGAAAAGATGGCTGAATTCCACGGGCAAACACTGATTGGAATGGCTAATCATCACTGCCAATACATCAATGATCTTTCAAGCAACATGAGAGGCAAGGAGCACTGTACAAGGTGTAGCCTGGGTCAGAGATGAGCCCAATGCGTTAGATGGTCTATGACTTAAGTAGTACAATAGACAACATCACTAACTCATTACAACACGAGAATTTACAGCCGTGATGGCGACTTTTTCGCTGTCTGTAGGTGGTTTTGGTAAAGGATTGTAAACATTTGTGCAAGGAAATTCACCTTACCAGGTCACCGACTTGCCATCCCGAGGCGCGATGTGACGTGTCGTGAAATCAAGTAAAATAGGCTGGTGATCACAGCAACAATTACTAAAATGATGATGGAGCTTTCAATCAAATATGTTGTTTTTTCAACTAGGCAAACTAGAGTGATATATTCTTGAATATTTATGCTGATGACGCCTTCTCATGCCTGTTTATGAATTTATTACAGATTTGCCGATTCATTTGGGTATAGCTTCACGAAGCTTGCCATACGGATGATATATTTTTATTTGACTAAATTCATACTTTCTGCGCTATGACAACAGTTTTAGTACATTTAATGATTTTGAGATATCTTCTCTCTTCTATTAAAAATTTGGGACATCTAAATCCACGGTTATCTGCGTTTTCCATTCCAATATATCTACAGTCATAATCCACGCTGCTTCCGTTTACCCCAGCCACTCGAGACAAACGCCTTTTTCGTAACCCAGCCTATGACGCACCATTTAATTTATGGTCGAGAAAGTTATGCCGCAGAAGTAGCTCTACCAGCCTCAAGCCTCAGTCCACGCTCAACTTCCATCCAAACAGCTTGGGCCTGCATTTCTTCGTAGCCGGGGGGTGCTTCGTTGGGTATAGGTCTTAAATTACTGTTTTCGGATAAATTGCTTCTTGGAATGCTATCTTCGTTTTCAAAAATAATGTTTGATGAGGTTAGAACAGGAGGTATGTCATCTTCTCTTGAGGGCCGGTAAACTGGTAGCGGCTCCAAATCTACATTTGAAAAGTCAACACATTGTCGGGAATTTTCATGAGCAATAGCATAAGTTTGGTTTAGGCGTTCTTTTATCTGCTCGAATATTGCGTGGAATTGGAATGCGCCACCTTCGCGAAACGTAAGCTTTACGTCGACTACTGGGTGAGGCGGCGGAACACCTCCTCCTGGGACGGGTTTGCAAAGACCAACCCAGTAATTTGCACCGAAAAATGGAGCGTGAACATATGTATCCTGGAGATTAAGGATAGGCGATGAAAAAGACTTTAAATCCGAAGATGGTTTAGTCGGCAGATATACCAGCTAGCGATAGCCTAATTAGTTGAATTTCTAAAGAAAAATGGATACCATACTCTCTGATTTGTGATGTAGATAGTTCCAGAGTCGCATTTTATAGAGAAGGGTTGGGCACTCGTGATTTCGGTTGTTGAACTGATGTCGATGCTTGTCCTTGAGGGACTTTTATAAAGTATATGTTCGTTTGGAAGCCTAATAAAACCTGGATCTTGCGGAGTTGTCATGACCCAACTAAATGGACAAGATTTTAGTAATTTCTTAAAAATCTGGTAAAGAATGAGAGGCACAGAACGAACAAGATATGCAAGGGGAAGTGGGTAGCAAAAGATTAGGATAATGACATTTAAATGTTCACTCACTTTAGAGACATCGTGATAATTCTTGTGAATAATTTAAAATTGCGTGACTGGTGCAGGAAAATGAGCGATGGGCAGTGTAAGATATCTGGTGGTCGAAGGGAAATAGGTTCGAGCGCGCAAACAAAGATGCGGGGTCTGATTCTCTGGGCAAGCGAGAGCGCTGGAGACCGCATAGAAATCGGACAATCGGCAAGGGAAGTTTAAACATAACCATCTGCAAATACGCTGACCATCTGATCAATGGATTTAAATGACTAAATAACTAGCAGTTTTTAAATTGCCTGCTGATGCAGCATAGCTTGCATCAACAATTTCCAAAGTGAATAAATCATGATCAGTAGTGCCATAGCTTTCTTCGAATCGTTTTAACCAACAAATAAGAATTTTGTCTACATCCTACATAATCGTCCAACACCCTAGGCCTGTTGTTACACGTATTGGTTTTCAATTCGCAATGTAATCTTCATTAACCTTGGAGCAAAATTAAACTTTATTCAAGAACCATAAATGCTTAAGATACATCTTACAATCCAGCTAGCATGCATGCGTCCCATATACAGTCCGATGATATGTCGTAGCTGCGAAATTTTGGGCCCACTTCCATTTAGCAGGGACTACCTTAGTTTTAGTCTTGAAAGTCTTTAAGAGAAATCGCTAAGGTGAGGTGCCTGTGCGCTAGGAGTGCAATGCTGTTTCAAAATAAAAGAGTAATTGTATGCATCCGGCAAGCAATGAACTGCATCCATATCTAGTTAGTTGAAGCAACAAATTTCCTAATCGTAGTAGATAAGCGATTCTTCGTTTGCGACCATAACACTGTTCAGCAACCTCTGGAAGCTCGAAATGATTTGACAGTTATTTTTCGCGCAAAGACAGTTTTGAACGCGATTCAAATATCTTGAATTCATAACGTGCAGTATATCAATGACCTTCGAAGTAACTAAAGAGGAAAGGAGCGCTGTACAAGCTCGGCCTGGGTCAAAGAGGAGCCCAATGTATTGAATAGTCTATGAGTTAAGTAGTACAATAACTACACACACATCTTGAATGGCACTATATAGGATCCTACCAAGCTATAAACTGCTACATGGCCTTATCTCTTCTAGCTGTTGTGGAATTTAAGTATTAAGCAATCCTATCACTCAACCATATAATCTAAATCGGGTTAAACTGAGAAATAATAGTTAGGTAATGTATACAGTTACCTGCCTTAGCGACTCCCAAATACCGAGCTAGGATCCTGAAGTTGCGTCATCGAGCTTCGTAATCGAAATTTATTCGGAAATAAATACGACATGGCTGTCATCTGGCACAAATTGAATTGAATTGAATACATTACGTATCAGGCTTATGCCCTACACCCAATAGGCGTGATACGGGTCTGTGCTCCCTGGGGCCACACTACAACCTAGGTACATAGTTTGCTTCTCAGAAACTATTTGTAGAAGACATAGATAATTAATTAAATTTCGAAAAAAAAAAACGCCCTGCGCCTTTTCTCCTTCCTCGTGGCCCTTAGTCCTGTGGAAAATTTCCTCCGGCAGGACTTAATCCTCCCGGTTTGCGCTCTGCATCTCGTAACACTTAGTTACTGTTAAGAACTGGAGAAATTTACCCCCTCCCTTTTCTGCCAGCATCTCCCGTCCACTCGGTGGTGGTTCATGCTTCTCTTCTCTCCAGTGCCGTAGAGCAATCCGACATTCGGCAAAATGCCAGGGACGTTTCTCTCTTCCGCAAACGCATTTGCAGTTTTCCCATTCGTGGCCAAACCTTTCATGGTAGTTCCTAAAATCACCATGTCCCGTCCTCGCTGCGACCAAGTGGTGATGCGCCCACCTCGGAAGTGCTAGCTCTGGTGGACGTTTTCGTTTCATTCGGAGATCCAACTCCTCATAGCGGCTAGGTCTATGTTTTAGCCACCAGGATTCCACCGCTTCTTCACACCTTTGCCTGACAAACCGGTTGAGGGCTGCGAAGGTGTATTTAAGTCCGTCCTTAATTGTTGAGGGATCTGTAGTCGTTTCAGCCGGGAGTTTCCTGAGGGCTTCCTTCGCCAGTCTGTCTGCCTCCTCGTTTCCAGTGATCCCTGAGTGGGCTGGTATCCACCTGATTTCAACTGATCTGGCTCGTCGTACCAGTCTTGTGAATATGTCTACCACCGCTTGAGAAGATTTCGTTCGACCGGTTTGAAGAGCTCTTGCGGCTATGGAGTTATCGAGGAGCACTTTTATCGGAGAGCTGCCCGCTTTTCCTATCGCTCCTTCGAGGGCTTTTTGGGCGCCAAAGATTTCGGCATCGTACACCTCCGCCCCTGGCAGAGGACCGGCATCACTCCCAATCATCTGGCCTCCTTTGTATAAGATGTATCCCCACGCCGATCTAGCAGGTCCACATGATGAGCCGTCTGAGTAAGCGCAAACTGTCTCATCCGACAGGCTTGCTATCCATTGCTTAGCGTGAGCTGCTTCTTGCTGCTTGTCACCGCCAGTGAGCTGTCTGATGGGCTCAGCTTTTGGGAAATACAGTTTGCCGGGGCCCTCGGCCATCGGCATATTTTTGGCGCTGATCTGAAGTCGCGTGAGGTACCTTTCTGGGCACTTGAATGGCCGGTTCCTCTGACCTATGCGGAGACCTAGGCGGCTTACTGTATCTTTTGGCTCCTCTGTAGACCTGAATGCTAAAGGATGCCACGCGTCCAGCCTTTGAATCCGTGCGGCAGCTAGAATTTTTCTCTGCTGTAAGATAATAGCAGATGGAGGAATACCCGACTCTCTGTGTAGCGCCGTTTTTGGTGTAGTTCGCCACACCGGTAGCGCAGCTCGAACTGCCTTCAAGATAGTGCTGTCGAGGAGATCAGTGTGCCAGCCTACTCCTGTGCCAACCATTTTGTCCCGCTGGGTTGTGATTCGGGTGAGACCTGGCCACCACGCTTCGGCTCCATATAGTGCCGTACTTAGGACACAGGACTGCACTGCTTTAATCATCGGTCCCGGAGCTGCGCCATGCTGGACCGAATTTATCCGTCGTATAGACTGTGTTATACGTTGCGCCTTCCCGCACCATTCCTGAACGTGTTGCTTGAAGTTGAGTTGAGAATCTAGCCATACTCCCAGCCATCTCACGTACGGGGACGGGGCTATGCAGTGGCCTTGGATCTGGACAGCTAGACCTGCGGTGTTCAGCTTTTTCCTTGGCCCACCTCCAATTAACAGTAGTTCAGACTTTGCCGGGTCAAAGTCTATCTGGTTTTCGCTCGCTAATTGCACGAGTTTGTCGACTTCTTTCTGGGCTTCGACCACTGCTTCAGACGCGGTGCTCCCTATGCTGAGTATAGCGATGTCGTCAGCATACCCGAATTTTGTGCTCTTGTTTCCGTCTCGCATCAAGATTTCGATGTATAATAAAAACAGAAGGGGTGATAGCGGCGACCCTTGTGGGACTCCGCACTCTGCAACTTTGTCCCGCGTGGTTCCATCACGGTGTCGCACCCTTATCCTTCGTTGGGTTAGAAATGATTCTATCCACAGGCAAAGTATCCTTGGCCATCCCTGATTCCGCAAACGATGGATCAGCCGTTTGTGCAGGACCGCGTCGAACGCTCCTTGTACGTCCAGAGTAACCATGGCCGTTACCTTCTTGTATCGCATTGCCGCCTCTACATCGTGTATGACGCAGGAGACCAAGTCAACTGCTGAGCGACCAGGCAGTGCACCAAACAGCTGTTGAGGAACGACTCGGTGCTCGATTGCTAGCCAGGCCATTCTCTTGGCTACAAGTCGTTCCAAACCTTTCCCAAGACAGGATAGAAGAGAGATTGGTCGCCACCCTTTAGCTGTTGCGAGGTCCCGTCCTGGCTTAGGGAGGAGGATGACCTCTGCAACTCGAAACATAGTGGGGAAATGTCCAAGCTGTAAACATGCTTGAAAGAGGTTCTTCACTTGTTCGCCAATTTGCTCCCAGCACGCCTTGAGCAGCCGAACCGTGATTCTGTCCGCTCCTGGAGACTTGTCGCCTGTTCCAATGGTGCTCGATTTTACATCCTCTGTCGACAATATTGGGTTCCACGGAATAGTCTCTGGTTGTCCCGTCTCCCATGTGGAGAGATCGTGGGCTGCGTTGAATCTAGTCATCAAGATGTCCCTCAGGGTTTCTGCCCTCTCGAGTGGGTCTGATAACCATTTGTCCTCCGCGACCTTCAGAGGAGGTTCTCGACATGGCTTGGGTTTAGCCCATTGCATTATCTTAAATACATGGGTGTCCGTGATGGCATTCTCGATCTGTTTTCTCCAGTGTTCCCTTTTTGCCACTTTGACTGTAGCTCTAAACCTTTTCCGGGCCAGGGCTGCTTTTTCTGAGTCGTCTCTGGATTCCATGAACTCGAGGTGCTTTTTCTTGCACTCCTCATTCCACCATGGCGCTGATTTCCCGGCTATTCTCACTGGTTTCCGTCCCACTGCCTTGCGGGCATCCCCCAGAGCCTCCAGCAGGTTCGCCACTTGGCTTTCAATTTCCAACTCGTTGCGTTTGGGGCCAGGCTTGGCCCAGGCTTTGACATACTGGGCGAATTTACCAAGGTCTTGGTCACGGACTCGCAGATCCTGTGAGACAGCGTTGAGGTCTGCCATTTTTGTCACCTGAACAGATCCTACGATAGTCATATGATCCGATGTACAGTTGTATTTATTTGATACCGACGCCTCAGCGAAGGTGTTACTCCACACTAAGTCTAGGACGTTTCCATCTCGATGCGTGGGTACGCCGGCTGAGGTTACTAAATGCATGTCCCGCGCTAGTGCCCAGTCCATGATCTGGTCGCCGCTACCATATTGCCTTGGTGCCTGGGGTTGCCAGTGTTTCGAGACCGCATTGAAGTCTCCCCCGACTACCGTGGGGCCTTGGGGCGTCCATTGGAGTAAGGGTTCTAAGGTACCGCTTGGCCCAGGTGCACGGTATACGTTTACAAAAGTCAGGCCAGATACTTGAACGAAGCAGTAGTCCAAAGTTTGTCTTGTGGGAGCCGTATGTATTTGTGAGGCTTCGAGACCTTTCCGGGTAAAGGTGATTGCTCTTGGGCGACCGCCTGTATCTCCGATGGGCTTGTGACTGTGAAAGCCAGGATGATTTTTCGTTTTATACTCCCCATCTTCTTGCAATGTCCATGGTTCTTGCACCA